ATTTGAAAGTTTACCTAATCTACAAAACCATTTTGATATCAATGTCTAAACGTTGAAAAAATTTGCCAGGTTTGAAGATATTGAGTCATCTTTTTTGCTTATCCGATGCAATTAGGACTGACTTGTTTGATTCTCTATTTAATGTTCTCAAAGAAAGATTGTAGAAACTTAGTATGATCATATAATGATAGACGTTGGCTAACAATACTAAGAGTTGGAGTTGTTTATCTTAAGCTGCATCTACCTTTTTTTTTTGCCCATTAGGCAATCTTTATATATCATTTGACATGACTGATTGTCTAACAGAAACAATTATAGAGACAAATAATGTATATAAACTGTCCACTTTTTTCTCATTTTCCCACTTTTTTTTCTTGCTTTACTTTTTTCCTGACTGAAATTTTTCCTCTAAAATTTGCGATATTACAAATAATTTTTACCTCCGGAAACCTCAAAGAAAAAAAAAAAAGGAAAATAAGAATTGTTTGAGAATAGGTAGTTATTATGTTGAACAAAACAGCAAAATAGAGTTTTTCTTTCATTGTCAAACGGAAAGCAACAATTACAACAGTTTTTAAAAATTTTTTTCACTTTTTTAATCACCAAAAAATTCCAAACAAAGTAACAAGGACTGCACCAAATAGCAAATTTGAACAACTGTCGTAACTCATGTAATGATATTCAGATGCCTACAAATGCCTACAGCTTGATGCAACCCAAACTCAGTTTAACTGAAAAAAAGCTAAACCAAAATCAAGCTAAACTGAAACAATGTTAAATTTAAGCTTAAAAAGGAAAGCAAATTGAGAAGAGAGAAGAGAAGGGTAACACTGAGACAGCAATTGAGTAGAGACAAAATAAAGGATAAAAAAAAATGTGAAAAAATAAAGTACACTGGACCTATAAGTACTCCTTCACACAGAAATACGTTCATATGAATGCACAAAAAGTAGTGTCTATTAGACATACAGCTTAAAATACACATACGAATTCATGCCTCAACCTCAATGTTCACAGAAATTCATTGATAAGTACCCTACACGTACCACGAATACGGCATTGCAAACCCCGTTCCGATGACGTGCCAACGTATCACGAAGTTTCACCAAGAACAGATCAACATGGAAGATGCAGAATATTTCTGTTTTTCAAAGAAACCATATTTGAATGAAAAGAATTATCTGTCGAATGGTTACAAATGAAGATTGTAATAGTTTTTTTTTCGATAATGATTCAATAGATTCCGATAAATTCTGACTTATTAACCAGTAGTGATTTGCATGAAATTATAAATGATGATTGATAACGACGATAGCGGAATACGCTAATAATATAGTACTGTTGTTGCTGCTGCTGCTGCTGCTGTTAATTATTTTGTTTAATTTCCTTGTGTTTTTTTGTTCTTTTGCTGTAACAACACCATAATCTTCATCATTATCATTATCATCAGATTTTGTCGTCTTCCATTTGTAGCCAAAACAAAAAAAAAACACAGGATAAACACTGATGAAAGAACAGTTGAAACAATTTTGCGCGATAAATACATAAGAGAGTTGAATACAAATGAAAATCATTGATATGCTTTATTTTTTTTTCTTATCTTTTTTTTGTCTTTTCACGGAAAGAACCAGTTGAAATCAATCGCATTTAACGAGGTAGTTTTAAGCAGTTATAAAAGAAAGAAAAAGAAAAAGAAACAATAAAGAAACTAAAACATAAAAAATTCATCATTTTCTGAAAATATCAATCAAATGTGATCGTTTCCTCAAATATCTTTTTCGGTTATTTCGGTACTACTGCTTTGTCTTCTCCGTAATTTTTTCCCCCACAGTTTTTATGACAGAAAAGGGAATGGGAAGAAGCAGATAGAAGAAGTGAAAAGAAAAACAGAAGGACCAAAAGAACATCAGAATTTGTGCATGGAAGAACGATCAACTTAACCTCCACATAAAAAGAACGATCTCTATGAAACAGTTGTTATATGAACAAAACTAAACATACATACAAATACGCAAGCAAACACACACTCACACACTAAGAACAACCCTATTTCCAGCTATAAAACAAAACAAAACAAAAGTAATAATAAGTTATTATAAGCAAAAAAACAAAAAAAAAAA